GTATAATAATTGAAATGTGACTGTATTTTACAAAATACTGGTCTACTGAAGCATAGTCAAGACAGGTTAGTTTGTAAAGACTAAAGGTCAGTTTTATATTATTGGATACGATAACATGAGTGCACGTGTTCGGCGTCAGTGTAACTTCTTGTATTGTTAGCCAGGCATGGCTGAAAAATAATAAATATATATAAAAATGTATAATATTATGAGATTTAAACTATTTAGCCTAAACATTTATGTTTTTGTGTTATAAGTTATTGTCATTTTAGAATGAAAGAGACATAATTTATACTTATTGCCTCATTTTTTTATGGTGGTTACGAGATCGGTCAAATCTACATGATCCGCACAGAGATTTATTAGTGAAAATAATAGATAAAATATAAAGTTTTTCTTAAGAAACATGTGATAATTATCTCGACATTATAAAGATTTCGCACGTGAAATTTGAAAATTTTCTTATGCATAAAACTATTTTAAATCTTAAAATGAAAATTACTTTGCATGTTGAATAGGCAACATGCGAAAAAAAAGGCATGAGAAAAACATTGCTTTACAAACCTTAAGACTTAATAAAAAAAACTTGATATTTTGCGTATGAAAGCATTGTAATGTTTACTGATAACCTGCCAAATTTCGTTAACATACGCTTTCTAATTTAAAAGTTATAGCATGAAAACTATAACAAGTACAAAATGGTTACGAGATGGGCCCTAGGGACCGAGCCGTGCTGAAAGACTTGGGCGTCCTCTTTTTTTCTTTTGCGCAACAGAATTTAATTTCCGCTTAATTTTGAAACATAAACTTCAGGCTTACATTTTCAATTAATATTTAAGTACCAAATCGGGATATGAGTAGTTAACAACCAAAGTGAGTTGTATCTTGAAAACAAATCAATAATTCTATAGATTGCTAAGCAATCGTGACATTATGAAAGCACGAGCTTACTAGAGATATGAATTACGTTAGTAAATAACTACTCACAAACATTATTACTAAATTGACATTTTGTTAAATATTAAGCACTGTGCTGCCACCTAAGTATAACTCTGAGAATACAGGGTTGCCGATAACTGTTTCTTTGTAGCTTGCTGCCACAGAACTGTTATTCGATAAGCATAGTGCCATCACCTAGCCACTACTCTGAAAGCTTTGGGCAACCATCAACTGCTTCTTATGGCCAGGTGGTTAGGGAACTCGACTCGCAATCTGCGGGTTCGAATCCTCGTCCCACCAGACATGCTTGCCCTTTCAGCCGTGGGGGCGTTATAATGTAACGGTCAATCCCACTATTCGTTGGTAAAAGAGTAGCCCAAGAGTTGGCGGTGGGTGGTGGTGGTGACTTACACTCTAGTGCTAAATTAGGGACGGCTAGCGCAGATAGCCCTCATGTAGCTTTGCGCGAAATAAAAAAAACAAAAAACAACTGCTTCTCTCTTAAAGTATTCTGCTTCTACCTGATCGCTATTTTAGTAGCGCAGTGCTGGCACCTGCTACTATTCCTGTAGCATACTGTTGATATCAGCCACTATTCTAACAGTTCAATACTGCCACCTAGCACTAGTCTGTTAACTATTTTAGTAACACAGTAACAACTATGACTTTAATAGCAAAACCTTGTATTCTATCTGATTCACATATTATACAGCGTTGCCACTTTCTGTAGCCCTTATCTATTGTTACAATCGCACAGTTCTACTTCTTGCATACTTTAGAAGCATAGTGGTGTCACCTAACCAATCCTTTTGTAGCACCTATTTGCTGTTACAATCGTGCATTCCTCTAACTAACTATTATAGAAGAATAGTGCTGCCACCTAGCCATTCCTCTAGTAAAAACTAATACAATCACACAGTTCTACTTTAGAAACACAGTGTAGTATTGCTAAACTTCGAAGATCCCGAAATAGTACGAACAAAATTAATTTATATGCATTGTATATTAATTTATGAAGTGGCATGATTATTTTTGGTACAGTTTTTATATTGAAATTACAATAACATAACATTCAATGATAATATTTTTGTGAAAAAGTGGTATAAATGTAATTGTACAAAAAAAAAACACTCGCTGATCCACAGCGGCAATCCAGTGAATCTATTGAATTCTAAAACTTTTTGTTTTGTTTTTTTCTTCACGATGCTGTGAATTCTGCCAAATAAATGAGCATTTTAAATTATAACAGAAAGCTTTTTGATATGTATTCTTTAAAATATAATTTAAAAATTATAACTTTTCATGTCTAAGGTGGTTTTACTTTTGCATTTAATATTTTGGAGCACATCGTCTAGAAAAATGACAACACGAGACCTTTTTTTTTTTAAGTAGGTACAAACAATCTGTTTCATTATCATAACCTACACAGGAAAGCTATTATCGTGGCCGGGGTCGTGAGGAAAGAGTAGTGATTAGTAGCAGATGGGGCTTTACGAGGTAATAATGGGGTCAAACACACCTGACGATATAGCAAGACGTTTTGTGGAAAGTGTTTCTTTGGGATATTCCCACACTTCAAGAGTCGACAACGATTGGTGCGAGTTACATAACGATACATTGAAATTCAGTTACCACCAATCTTCTGACACGTTTCACACAAGTAGTTATGTAATATAACTGTCTTAGTCTGGGTAAGTTCACTTAGGTTCCGTTTTCGTCTTCCATATCGACAATGATGCCAATCCGCCTACCACAGTTCCTCACTTTGTAAATAACCTCCTCTTGCATTAAGTTAAAACACATGGCAATGAAGGCCATCCCGATCAACAGATACAGAGAACAAATCATAAGTTTCTCCTGCGCATTCGTGCCAAGTTCTCTGGAGTCCCCAGGAATTAGATCCCCAAAACCGATCGTGCTAAGCGTCACGAAACAGAAGTACGAACCATTTAAAAAATCCCATCCCTCCCAAACGGAAAAAAGTGCCGCCCCACCCAAAATGTACCCCACGAGAATCAACAAACACAGTGTAATAGGCACTGCCACATGCTCGTTCATAAACTCTAAGCCTTTTCCCAGCTCTTCAGGAATTGTCTCAGTCCTAACCTCGTCCTCGGGGGTCATGTAGAGTTTATGCTGAATTCCAGGTTCCACGGAATTTCGCGTGTTGGGTGAGTTGTTCGTCACTGTATGATGGGCGCGATAGTTTTTCCTATGTCGGTTATGGTCTGAGGGCTTACAGGTACAAAGACGACCGTAAACGTATCGAAAGGCCTTTGCCAGAAGATCTCCGATGTTTGTCAGATAAATCAGCATGAGGGGGATCCCAAAAATCGCATAAACTATTGTGATCAGTTTACCCCAGTTTGTCTTGGGAGCACTGTTTCCGTAACCTAGAAAACAAAACAAGGAAACAATTATTTCTCACCATTTTATCATAAAATTTATCACTTAGTAATTACCACGAGATTACTTTAACTTACCTGTCACTGAATACTATCAGACTGCTTTAAGTTACCCGTAAATGAATATTATCAGACTGTTTCAAGTTACCTGTCACTGAATATTATCAGGCTGTTTTAAATTACCCGTAAATGAATATTATCAGACTGTTTCAAGTTACCTGTCACTGAATACTATCAGGCTGCTTTAAATTACTTGTTACTGAATACTATTACACTGCTTTAATTTACTTGTTACTGAATACTATTACACTGCTTTAATTTACTTGTTACTGAATACTATTACACTGCTTTAATTTACTTGTTACTGAATACTATTACACTGCTTTAAGTTACTTGTTACTGAATACTATTACACTGCTTTAATTTACTTGTTACGAATCCTATTACACTGCTTTAATTTACTTGTTACTGAATCCTATTACACTGCTTTAATTTACTTGTTACTGAATCCTATTACACTGCCTTAATTTACTTGTTACTGAATACTATCACACTGCTTTAAGTTAATTGTTACTGAATACTGCCCGACGAC